CCACGAAATATAGTATCTCTTTTTGGAACCTTTTTCTTGTATTCCGGAACAAAATGTTCAGCAGCAGAAAGATTTTTATGAAACCAAAGATAGCATTTCACTTTTTCAGCACTATTGTGCGTCTCCACTGTCGTAACATAATGCCAAACAAAGAATTATTACCGCTCACTAGAAAATAGCGTCCTTTATGGCATCTAATGCCATCTATGAATAAACTTATGACATATTATTTCTATTCTGACTTTAAACGAGTTAATTTCATTTAATATTTCGGAAGCTTTTAACATGAAATTGCCCAACTAATTTTTAGATACTTAGTACTGCTAAATTTATCCCATCCAACTGTATATACTGCAGGATATAGCCTTTTAAGGAATACAATCGGATAGAAAACTAGAGAAGAAATGGCAGTCCGGGCAAGCTAACTTGACGCAACAAGAAATTTATTGTAACACAAGTTGCAAAGCATTCACGCTTAAATACTATAAAAATTTCTGTAGAATTCAATCAATAGTTTTCTTTTTCAATTTTATCTGAAACTGTTCGCCGAGATTAGTTGGCTCCGCGAGAGGAAAATATTCATTTAGTCCAAGAAGCAGAAACCGTCGCAGAATGAATGATAAATAAGTCAATATCTCTCTTATTGGAATCACGTGATCTTTGCTGGTGATAACAAATTAAACATTTTTGGCTCTAATGAGAGTATAAGAATATGTAGAAGAGAAAAAACAGGAGAAACTGTTAGTATAAAGACAGTGAAACATGGAGATGATGGCATTGATTCTTATGCGGAGAACATGTTAGCATCAAGACCAGGTAATTTAGCACTTATTAATGTAATAATGGATTAGTACCTTTGTTTAAATATTTAAAATACAATTTATATAATTACCAAACCAAAATTTTAATTTTAGAGAACATTGTTGAAAAACTCTGTATAATGATTTTCATAACAACTTTGTTCTCCAATAAAGAATACGGCTCTGAATGTTTGCTCCTAGTTTCTTTAAATGTTTGGAACTTTTAAGAACACCACCCTATTACACTATTTAAACTCAGTTGAAAATCATTAATGAACATTGAGAGTTAAAATAGGACGATACACAGGAAAATAAAATGAAAAGCGAACTAAGAATAGAGATCACTGAAGAATTGAAAAACATTGTTAAGAAACATTCAGAAACTACCAAAACAATTAGCAATATTAAATATTTTGTAGCGTTTTTTAAACGTTAGATCATTTTTAAGGAGTAAATATTTTAGGTTACTTTTTGATTTTTTTTCCCCAAAAATAATTTTTTAAGTTGTATTTAAAATATTTTTTTATAATTTCGGTAAGAATGGAATTAGATGCAATTTAAAGAAAGTCCCATTGAAAAATATCAAACAGGTAAGATACTATTTCATGCAAATTCGAAAGTATTCATTACTTTTGTGAGCCACCGTGGTTATAAGGCGAACTCTCATAATTTGAGATATTAATAGTAATAAAAAAACAGTGTGTTCAACAGATCGTAACTAGTCTGATGTCATATTTTGCAGATGAATGGAAAAACATAATAAAATGGAGTTCTCCAATTCATCCAAGCCGCAACTTTAACCCCCTCCCCCTAGAGCCGAGAACGTCATATCAATTACTACTTATAAATATTGTTCCGATTTGCTCATATTACTTATGAATTCCATGTGGATCATTCCTTGAGAGTTTATCATATATAATCTATTTGTATATAGGCTAGAACAAGCGTCGACAACCTATGGCATGCGGTACAACTCTCTCTCTCTCTCTCTCTCACACACACACACAGTGTATAGAACTCTACTCTACAAATATTTCAATTTTTAAGTTGATGGAAACTTATAAATCTGGAAGTTGAACTTATACTTAAGTAACATCTTCAGAATTATAGAAAGCAACATCCACGTAATTACAAAAAAATCTGAAAGATAACTCTTAAGATAAATCGACAACTAATTAAAATTATTGATGAAGAGATTTAATTGCTCGAAGAGAGAGAAAATTGCACGTACTGTGCTTTCCACTTATGGTTCTACGTATCTATATGTGAATAAATCTTCTCTTAACTCATATGGAAAGTGGGTTTTTTTCAAATGGGTTACATCTGGCACACAACCTTTGCAGATACGGCAAGTCTCGCAAGTGTGAGAGCCATTTCAGTAATGGCACTCTCTAGTGCCGGCTCTCTCTACAAAATGTTGACGCTTGAATTAATTTTAATTCAAGCCCTCGTCAAATGCTAAAAATTGTCTTGATAGAATTTTGCAGATATTACCAGAGTCAAATTGGTACTCAAATGATCTTTTACATGCCACATGATAATATGACATGCTTGCCTGTGATTTTCACACTCAGAAAATCTATCGACTCTGGCCGGGATCAAACTTTCAACCTTAGGCGTACCAGGCGGGGGTGCTACCTCTAAGCCACCGAGCCTACTCACGTGATAAGTATTTTGAGTCCACAAAGAAATTACTTAACGAAAGAACATTCATAATCGTATCAAATTGAAGGCCCCAAATTATACCTCTGACAGAGCGGTAGACGGACAAGGTTCGCATTAAAATATTTATTTTTTTATTTAATTAAATTCGATGGAAATACATATACTTTATGTTGTCTATTTGTCATTGTAATAAATGTGTTTATAAAATACGTCACATATGAATAATTTAAATTTTTAAATTTATATTGGAGAAATAGTTAGATTATATGTTTATTTTAACATTAATAAATGATAATTAATTTATAAAAACCTCTAAATCTGTATTTTTGACCTTTATTCCCTGCATTGTCGTGGGAATCGAATTTTTCAAATATTTCTTAGACTGGGAACCCTGAATCATATCGGTAGATTAGTTTGGCACACCACTGCTAAAATTTTTGCGGACCCCTGGTCTATTAGTCTCATATTAGTCTAAATTTTTCATATAACAGCTTAACTATATGGTTGTTTATAGGGAAAATTAATATATTAAAAATTATAACACTCTAAACATGCGTCTGTTTAATAAATATTACTGTAAATAAAATATTTAGAATGGAATAAATTTTCATAAAGCTGTTATTTACTATTTTTACGAAGTTCCTAAAACTATAATAAAATGTTTGGAAAATACCATTGCAAAATGCGGCAATTGTTTAAAAACTACTAAAACAGTACAAAAGTTATTTAAAAAGAACGAAAACAAAAGAATTATGATCCTAAAAAAGTAAAATGGGATTATTTTTGTAGATAAACTCAAAATGCAAAGAGTACTTTAAATGAAAATAATTATTTTATCTTCATTAAAATATCCTTTACATTTATTGAATATTTTGGTTTATGATGAGAAATTAAAATCTAATTTTTTGTACATTATTTGATCTTATATATTTGCATGTTCAAGCATTCATTACCTTATTATAGTTAAAATTCGTTGATGATGATTTTAAACAAAATATGTACTATGTGTAACATTACAGGTTTGAAAAAATTTTGGACAAAGAATCGAGAAGAAGCAATTGTTATAATATCCACAGATTCGTGATATTTCAGGGAAAATGTTAAAAACTGTTAAATACCTAAGCAAAATCACTTATTAAAATTGATTTTCTGAATTTTTCTCAGTAAAATAAATGTTAATACATATAAAACTGAAAAAACAAGGCAGGAAAATTAACTTAAGTAATGTTTCATTAATGCTGATAAACATTGAAAAAGTAAAAAAGAACAAAAGTATATACCTATATACATAGGCTAAAAAACTGTTACAGATTTTGTCAAAAAAAGTTCATTTCTCTTAATTTTTTTAACCTTTTGATAGAAAATAAATTCGTATATAAACAGTTATTTTTAAAAATTCAAGAGTGAAATTTATGGAAAACTTACTTTAGGCTCAATACTTCTAACAGTGATATAACATGCGAATATCTCAAATTTGCGAATATTTCAAATTTTCGAAATGGGTTATATTTTTAAAAAGTATTTATTCTACTCCTTATCAATAGACAGCTCTAATATAAAACTGATTGAAAAACTGCAATTCCTTGCCCTTAAATTGTTGATACACTTATTTAAAAATAGAAGACAAAATAATCATTTCTAATTAAATTAAAAGTTGTCCAAATGATAAAAACCAAACGATAAAACTAATATAATAAGACCAAATAAATTCTAAGTAAATTCAAAAGTTACATGAAATAAACTAATTCAGATTTTTAAAAAATCAGGTTTACATTTTAACAAATATTTAAAATTCTTTTTATATAATATAATTTAATAATAATGGGGAATAATTATAGATTATATGAAATGGAATACATGATAGAAACATAAAGGAAGTAAGTAATTAGACGACTGGCATAGTATAATATTTTCTACTCTTTTTAACTTTATAATGAAATGAAAATTGTCAACACTTAAAATCAATTTTTAGTATTCTTTTCGATGTTTTATTATAAGAGTAGTGTGAGGTAATTAACCAAAATTTACTTTGACACAATTACTAAAAATTTATTTTAACAAAATCGATAAAAGTTTTTATATCATCATTATCATGATAAAAAAATTAAATTCCTGTTATGATAAATGAAACTTTTAACATAACTAAAATTACTGTTTTTAAGCATTTCACATACATTTTTACAAACCAGATTTCCGTCTTTTATTCCAAATATGTCTTTGTATCTAAACAAGTAATATAAAAATAAATTTTTAAATCAATTCCTACTTGCTGTTAGATCGCCAATGAAGCATTTTATTTTAGTTACTTTTTATTAAATAGTTATAATTAATATAAATATATGAATAAACATATAACCTAATCACAGTATTAAGTGACAAAGTAAAAAGCGATTGTCCTTGCAATTTTCCATTTTTCTTTCTATATAGGGTGTTGGACTATTTTTTTGTTTGTTGCTATTTATTCATTAATTATAAATTTAGTTATCATAATAAAATAGTATAGTAAAAAAGAAATCACATTCTCAGAAATTAGGCCATCCCAAGTGGAATTCGAAATCCTGATCTTTGGATTAGAAGTCCAACGCGCTATGCATTGCGCTACAGGGACACAACAAAAAATTTCCGGTTGGACTATTATTTTTGTTACTATTTATTCATTTTTAAATTTAATTACTGAATTAATATTTGGAAAAATGTATTATATAACATCCAGTGTCTTCCACTACAAGTTTAAAAAAATGTATTTGAACTTGAATGGATGAATAGAAAGTATTTTATTAACGATTGAAAATTTAAACCAGTTATATATAATAGGAAGAAAGTAAACTAATAGTAGGAATTACGCATCTAATACCAATATTAAAATACTAGAAGTCTCTCAAAACTCTTATTTCAGAAATATTGCAGGAGCTGGTTGGATATACCAGAAACTCTTACATTTATAAAGCCCTTGATATTAAATCTTTTAAAAACTTCATCCAAACTCTCGCAATTAAATTTTTTAATAACCTCTCCATTACTAATAATTTGAATTTACTTAATATTCAAAATTATAACTTAAAGGATTCCACTGACAGACCTAGGAGAATATTCCTAGACTCATACAACCCCCCCCCCTTTAATATTAATCTTTTGCATTCACCGGTGATGAGAATGCAAACTATATATATATATATATATATATATATATATATATATATATATATATATAAATATTCTAAATTTTTTCCCCTTTTTAATTTTTAATTCTTAAAATCTTTGTATCACTTAATTTCTTATCACTGAGCCCATCAGGCAGGCTCTCTTTTTCTTTTCTACCTTCATCCTAAATACTCCAACTTCAGGGCATCCAATAGAGAGCTTTCTCACTTATTGCAGACAACCAATGCTGTTGCCTCTACTCCAACAACCAGTACTTCCCGCCAAAAATCTTACAGATCTCTCCCACTGAAGCCATCAAGAACACCTTTCAGACTCTGAGGTCAACCACCTGCCTTACCCTAACATCCAATAAGATCTTCTTCCTTACAAACTCAATGAACTTTGTTTTCCCATCCAGGATTCCCACTTGTTAGCTCAAAAATACAATTTCAGACAGGGGATGGAGGATCTTTTATAGATCCATATCTCTGTGACGTGAATAAACGTAATAGTAGGAATTGAAAAAAGTATACACTATCCAATACATTTATGAATTAAATGAAAACTAATAACTGAAATAATATAAAAACTAATTATAATCTCGCTGAAGGAATGCGTAAAAATCAAGAATAACAACAAAAAAATAATCAATTCTCATAATCGTTCAGATTTGCTGAGGGATCATGATAGTAAACTCGTGGCCGGCACTATTTCTTTTGATGCAGTGGAATTGAATCCTGGCACCACTAAAGACACACCACGGATAGAGGCTGATTCATGTTAAATCTGTCGAAGTTCAAAATCATTTTTAGCATGGTATGAAAATCTCGAAAGGGTGTTCCAACTTAAATCATCCTTGCTACCTGACATAATAATTAATTTAAAGGTTATTAGTTCAAACTTACAAGGACTATTACCAATGTCTTCGAAATACGATATTAAAAAAACATTCAGCAAACCACTGAGTAAAATTAAATATCATTACGGGGATGGGAGCTGAAAAGCAATAAAATTTCTAATACTTGTTTGATTTTCATGAAATGTAGGCATTCTTAAGTGATCCTTATGTATTTATATCAAACGCAAAACAGGTTTTAAAAAAATATTTTCCACATTTTTTTAATACTTGAATCGTTTTCCTATTTTTCTTCTCTGCTTAATATGTGTTTCATATGATTTAAAATCTCATTTGGAATTCTTCCATTTTATAAAAAATAAAGAATAAACAAGAATATAATAAAAACAAAACGAAAGAAAGGAATGAGAAATTGATAATTAATAATAAAACTAATGATTAAAAAATTCGACAAAGAAAATTTTAATTGATTAATATAAAAGAATCCTTTTAATTTTTTGCATTGCATTTTTTTCCTTTTGAAAAAGTGTATTCCTTATAATATTTCACTTGCAACAGCCCTGGTATAACAAAGATGAGTAGAATCTTTTATTTTTTAACGAATCTGGAAGTTTTTTCCCTCTTCATTTGCAGAATGCAACTAATAAAATAGTGTAAACTTATATGGACATAGAAATAAAAAAAACATTGATAAGAAAATTATCTATTGAAGCCATCTTAATATTAATCAATTAACTTTTATAAATTTCTTTATTTAATAAATAAATCAAAAATCCATAATCAACATAAATAAGAATTTTAAAAAAATCAATGCTTAACACACAAAATAAGTAAAGAATGTCTGAATTCTACAAAATCAAACAAAAGTTCAAAACTGATGAAATGGGCAAAAGATTTAGGTATTCCAGCACTAAGTCAGTGAGAGTGGCAATTGACAATGTGTGACAGATCTATTCGCGTTTTTCCAACTAATCAATCCTCTTGGAAAATCTTTGGGCTATCAATTCGCGTTATTCACAACCAACCCTTCGGAAGAAGAGAATCGTGATATTTAAATTAATTTACAATAAATAGGCGAGGTTTTCTAGCTTGAGAAAGAGAAGGAGAGAAAATATACTCGAGCCAAGTGAGATTGCTACTGAAGGTCTAATATTAGAATTATAGTGATCTGACTCATATTAGGAGGAAACATTAAAGTGACGATTGTTCACTAAAATTGAATTGAGATTAGATTAAATCAGAAGATAGGTTAGATCCTTAATTAAGATAAGGATCAAGTTTGATAGTCTCCTAATCGCTCACGTTTTACTATCGTTGTTCCACTTTCACGGTTAACATTGAGACATTCGCTTACTATTATTAGTTGAAATTGTGTATGTTCTTTGTGTGGAAATAAATAGATTAGTTGGATCATGTCGAGTGTTTCTTTCCTTCCCCCACATCTAAGTACCCGAGAGAGAGGCGCGAGTCTCTTACAAATGTTTTAAGTTTGTCACAGGTATCGTTAAAAGTTTAATTAAACTGCTGAAATAACTTTTGTATAACTATCGTGTTTACCTTTGGTGTGTTCTGAAAAATTAAATTTTTATCTCAATTTCAAGCAAAAGAATTTACACACAAAGCAGGAAATATTATAACACTTACACACACTTCAAAATATTTGGCTTCTAAGAATAGGTGCATTTGAATGAAATAGCTTACTGTCCATACATTTGAACGTATACAACAAATGTTTTATAAAATTCTATAGTAATTATCAAACAAAAAATTATACGATGGTTTGTTTCTTCTCTCTTACTATACGTTTCACCTTTTTGTGAAGTAAAGGGTGTTTTTTAGAGGTATAGAACTTTAAATTGCAATAAAGCAACGATGTATTATTCGATTGACATGAATTTATTTTTATTCGAAAGATATTCTTATGGCATTACATTTTAAATATGATTTCTGGCATATGATTGCCACGGCTGGCTCGGATGTAGTAAAATCTGGACGTCCAATTTTCGATGACTTTTTCCAACATTTGTGGCCGTATATCGGCAATAACACGGCGAATGTTGTCTTCGAAATGGTCAAGCGTTTGTGGCTTATCCGCATAGACCAATGACTTTACATAGCTCCACAAAAAATAGTCTAGCGGTGTTAAATCACAAGATCTCGGAGGCCAATTCACAGGTCCAAAACGTGAAATTAGGCGGTCACCAAACGTGTCTTTCAATAAATCGATTGTGGCACGAGCTCTGCGACATCTTGTGCCGTCTTGTTGGAACCACAGCTCCTGGACATCATGATTGTTCAATTCAGGAATGCAAAAAGTTAGTAATCATGGCTCTATACCGATCACCATTGACTGTAACGTTGTGGCCTTCAACGTTTTTGAAGAAGGATTCCACCAGCCCATAAAGCGCACCAAACAGTCAGTTTTTCTGGATGTAACGGTGTTTCGACATACACTTGTGGATTAGCTTCACTCCAAATGCGGCAGTTTTGTTTGTTGACGTAGCCATTCAACCAGAAGTGCGCTTCATCGCTAAACAAAATTCGCTTATGAAAATCGGGAACAACGGCAATCTCGTTTTGGGCCCATTCGACGAATCTACGCCTTGCTTGATGATCGTTTTGATGAATTGCCAAACCAAACTGAGAATAAATCACTTGACAGCTGTTAAATCGGTCGCCATCTTGGAAAGTAATGCCAACTTAAACTTCTATACCTGGAAAAAAATGCTCTTTACGTTCAACTCTAAAATAAGTATACATAAATTTTTGTAATTATCCTTAAAGCAATTCATGAGTTAGAGTTATATTAACGTTCACGAGGGCTATTGACATCGAATCTCGTAATTTTGAACCATGGTCAAGTGATGAGGACGAATACACAAACCAGGACGTGTTTACAATAATATAAATACACGACCAATTTTACAAAGCAGTAAAGCGAAAATAATGTGGAAAAATAATATCTTGTGCAGCCATGACGCTCAGCAATAAACTTGTTCCTGTGACATCGAATCATTAAAATTCTGAATGTTATAATAAGAAATGGCATTCTTTATGTATTATCTCTGTCTTACACCAAAGTTCTTACATACTTCCTATTCGACAAGTGGTATAAGCTGGTTGCCAGCTTATATAATTCTAGACGAGCGACATATTCGGGATACGCGCATACCATGAAAAAAGCAGAACCTGTAGTATTTTGTAGCAGGATTGTACATTCCTTTGAAATGAAGCTAAAGGCAGGGACGTCTTAAGACTCTCTGAGGTCCTGGACCCAGAGAAATCTTAAGATTTTTTTGAAGACCAGGGCCTCCATGCAAAAGTAGGCTCCACCTTTGATCTTTAAAGTAGACAGTATATTTACAGCATGGGCCGTAGGTAGCCTAGTGGTTAGAGCATCGGACTCTAGACCGGAAGACCTGAGTTCGATGCCACCAAATACCCACCGAGTACACACGGAGTACGTGCTCGTTAAATCAGTGGGTCCGAAGTCTTATGGGCTGAGTCACGAGCTCAGGGACTGGAGAATATTTCCCTCCCCTTCAGTCCATGCAGAAATTGTGGAGGTGGAGATAGGTGGTGTAGCCATCTATCGTCCCTTAGGGAATTTT